GCGCCTTTCACGTCGGGAGGACGTCCCAAGGCGCTGGAGAGTCAGAGTTATGGACCCGAGCTGAGGGTCGGGGTGGGGTGGGAGCATGGATATCAAAACTACGGACGAAGAAGAGGGTCTTGAGATGTGTCTTGAAGGTGGCGAGGGAGGGGGCGAGGCGGAGGATCTGACAAATGGAGTTCCAGAGGGTGGGGGCAGAGTGGCTGAAGCCCGATAGTGCGGAGAGCGAGGCGTGGGACATGAAGCAGGCCGGAGCACGCTGAGCGGAGGGAGCGAGCAGCATGGTAGGTGGTTAGGAGGTCGGAGAGGTCAGGGGGAACAAGCCCATGGTGGGCTTTGAAGGTGAGGACCAGGATCTTGAACTGTATCCTCTGTGTGATGGGAAGCCGGTGACAAAAGCCGAGCTGTGAGTGTGGGAGGAAAGATTAACCCACAGAGGGAATGGGATTAACGCCCGACACATAGGGAAGGGGTGACTCTCTGTGTTGCACATCTATATCTGTACGTGTTGTCCATAGGGTTTTATATCAACAACAATAATAATAATAATTCTTGCATTTGATGCAGCGCCTTATCACGTCTTCGAGACGTCTGAAAGCCCTTCAGGGCATAGACTGTGAAGGGACTGTGTATTTTGTATATCTCCCATGACTGTTTGTGGAACATCGCATAAGACCATAAGCACGATCAAAAAGGAAGTCACTCGTTTCCTTGGCTGAGGTGAACTTACCATCGGTTTTCTCGTGTTCAATAACAAGGCAAAATGGCTCTGACAGGGTGATGGCTGCCAGCAGCAGAAAGGCACTGATGAGTTTCTGGGGCGGGAGGGGGAGAGAGAGCGTGAGTTAGTGTTGAGAGGTCAATGAGTGGGAACCATGTCCTTTCATCCCTGGAAAATTCATTGACAGGAACAGTCGACCAGTCACTGGGGACTGGGAATCCTCCCACTCAGCTCCTGTTAACCCTGCGGCCAAAGCCCTAACAGGAAGTGTGATCCCAGCTGGACAAGCAGCAGGAAAGCTTGGCCAGACAGTGCCCTCAAAGGCCAAGCTGTGTGGGTTTAGCTGGTTACACTCCAGCAGTTATGCCCAACACACACTTGTGCTTCCCCGCCAATTCCACTCCCCATCCAAGCCTTGGCTCTCGCCAACCTGCACCAGGTACCTCTCTTTATTACGTCTCTTGCCCAACGTTTCGCCCTCTCCTGTCCCGCCCGGGAATCGAACCCGGGTCCTCTGGTTTGCGAGGCGAGGGCTCTATCCCCTGAGCTACAGGATTCTACACACACAGAAATCCACTTAATATTCCATGTTAAAGCCTATTCGAAGTTCTTACCATCGCTGCGAGTGTCCACACCAGCCAGACTTTGTCCGGTCACTGCCAGTGGAGCCACTGAGCTGTGGCTTTAAGGCTCTCTCTCCTTTTGGATCCATTGTCAAAAGCCTCACCAATGATTTACTCCTCAACCGAGAGGGACGTGAAGTCCTTTGTCTCTTTGTCGCTCTCTCTTGAAGGTACTGAGACTGTCTGGGGTTTTGATCACCCATTGCTGGCAGCCTTCCCTGTCCCCGTGTGATCACACTTGACCCACACTGCCAAGCTCTCTGTACTCTCCCGCACTGCCTTCTCTCCATAGATGCTGCCCGACCTGCTTGAGGGCTCATCCGAGCAGCATAGAAAGAGCCAGTGCAGGGCTGGTGCCAAACTGTGCCTTGTGTCGTGGAGTCCTGTGGTTTGGTGGTTAGAGCACTCGCCTGGCATGAGAGAGGACCTGGGTTCGATTCCCGGGCGAGTCAGGCCCAAACATTGGGCAAGTTTCCTTCCTCCACACACACACGGCTCTGTTTCCCACCAGTAAGTAGGAACCCGGTTGTTGGGCGATTGGTGGATTGCTATTCCGGGGGTAATAAACCCTTCCAAATACATAATAATAATAATAATCTGGTGACTCCATCCACGGCTGTTTGTGGGGACGCTGCTGTGTGCAATTGGCTGCCGTGTTTCAACCACAAAATATACAGTTAATTGACTTTACAGTGTATCCTGTGAAGCGCTTTGAGACGTCCCATAGATGTGATGAGGGGATGTGTCAAATACAAGGCTATGATTGAGCCGGAACTGCAGAGTTTATCAGTGTAAAGTATGGGTAGGCTTGGGGCTCGGGTCATTCAACCATATTTGTATGTTCTGTATTGTTGACTGTCCAAGTGACTTTGGATAAAGTGATCTAATCCTCAACTGAACTGAACTGTTGCCCAACTCCCAGAGAACGGCGGAGAGATTCTATCTCCTTCAGACCATGCGAGTGACAGAAAGAATACTCCAAAACCAATTCAGAATGCAATGGCTTTTATAGTGACTTAGTGAGTGGGGATGGGGGGAGTGGGACATACACACACACATCAACCCGGCTCCTCCTCGGTGGAGCAGGAGATCCAGTCGCCCGCCTCGATCACCCGCCACAATCCAGCTGTTTGGATCTCATTTCCCGACAATGCCATTGCTTGGCAGGGAATTGAGGGATTATCCTTTCTGTAGTGGTTGTCCTGACATCTCTGTAGGTCAAGCTTTACCTTGCAATTCTCCGGGGCAATTGGTATGGCCATTCTGAGGAACAGAACCCACACGTTGACACGAGGTGCCAGCATCTGCGCCATCCCAATTGCAGAAGGACATTGATAATCCTCACGCTTGACTTTTCCTTTGCGGCTGCGCTTACGGTCACCAGCCCACCCCACCTTCAGCCTTCAGTCTCTCTGCCCCCAACCCACCTCACCCCAAACCTTTGGATCTCCACCCCACAGTCCCTCCTCCTCGCCCCAACCCCCCCTCCCCCCACTCCATCGCCTCCTTCAAGAACCGTCTCAAGACGACTTACACTGTACAGCATCTGCCAACGTTAACACCACACTAACAGTCCTCACACTGGCTGTTCCTCCAACTGTCCCCGATGGCATGGTAGCTCCCGTCACTCAAGCCCTTGCACTTGACACTTGGATCTGAAGCGTTGGACAGAAGCTGAGCTGTGAGTGTGGGCGGAAAGATTAATCCCCAGAGGGAACGGGATTAACAACCGACACGTAGGGAAGGGATGACTCTCTTGTTGCACATCTATATCTGTATGTGTTGCCCATAGGGTTTTATATCAATAATAATAATTCTTGCATTTGATACAGTGCCTAATCATGTCTTCAATCCATCTTAAAGCGCTTCCCGAGATAGACTGTGAAGTGACTGTGTATTTTGTATATATTCCACGACTGTTTGTGGGACATCGCTGTGCTCAATTGGCTGCCGCATTTCACCCACAAAATACAGGGGGTAGAGAGGGAGAGAGGGGGTAAAGAGGGAGGTGACCGTAAGAACGATCAAGAAGGAAGTCACTCGTTTCCTCGGCTGAGGTGAACTTACCATCGGTTTCCTCGTGATGAAAAATGAAGCAATATGGCTCTGATTAGGTGATGGCTGCCAGCAGCAGAAAGGCACAGGTGAGTTTCTGGGGCGGGAGGGGGAGAGAGAGCGTGAGTTAGTGTTGAGGAGATCAATGAGTGGGAACCATGTCCTTTCATCCCTGGAAAAGTCATTGACAGGAACGGTCGACCAGTCATTGGGGACTGGGAATCCTCCCACTCAGCTCCTGTTAACCCTGCGGCCAACGCCCTAACAGGTAGGGGGGTCCCAGCTGGACAAGCAGCAGGAAAGCTTGGCCAGACAGTGCCCTCAAAGGCCAAGCTGTGTGGGTTTAGCTGGTTAGACTCCAGCAGTTACCCCCAATGCACACTCTGGGCTTGCCCCCCACCCCAAAGCCTTGACTCTCACCAACCTGCACCAGGTACCTATCTTTATTACGTCTTTTGCCCAACGTTTCTCCCTCTCCTGTCCTGCCTGGGAATCGAACCCGGGTCCTCTGGCTTGCGAGGCGAGGGCTCTATCCCCTGAGCTACAGGATTCTACACAGAAATCCACTTAATATTCCATGTTAAAGTCTATGCGAAGTTCTTACCATCGCTGCGAGTGTCCACACCAGCCAGGCTTTGTCCGGTCACTGCCAGTGGAGCCACTGAGCTGCGGCTTTAAGGCTCTCTCTCCTTTTGGATCCATTGTCAAAAGCCTCACCAATGATTTACTCCTCAACCGAGAGGGACGTGAAGTCCTTTGCCTCCTTATTGCTCTCTCTTGAAGGTATTGAGACTGTCTGGGGTTTTGATCACCCATTGCTGGCAGCCTTCCCTCTCCCCGTGTGATCACACTTGGACCCACACTGCCAAGCTCTCTGTACTCTCCCGCACTGCCTTCTCTCCATAGATGCTGCCCGACCTGCTTGAGGGCTCATCCGAGCAGCATAGAAAGAGGCAGTGCAGAGCTGGTGCCAAACTATGCCTTGTGTCGTGGAGTCCTGTGGTTTGGTGGTTAGAGCACTCGCCTGGCATGAGAGAGGACCTGGGTTCGATTCCCGGGCGAGTCAGGCCCAAACATTGGGCAAGTTTCCTTCCTCCACACACACACACGGCTCTGTTTCCCACCAGTAAGTAGGAACCCGGTTGTTAGTCGATTGGCGGATTGCTATTCCGGGGGTAATAAACCCTTCCAAATACATAATAATAATAATAATCTGGTGACTCCATCCACGGCTGTTTGTGGGGACGCTGCTGTGTGCAATTGGCTGCCGTGTTTCAACCACAAAATATACAGTCAAATGACTTTAGTGTATCTGTGAAGCGCTTTGAGACGTCCCAATGATGTGATGAGGGGATGTGTCAAATACAAGGCTATGATTGAGCCGGAACTGCAGAGTTTATCAGTGTAAAGTATGGGTAGGCTTGGGGCTCGGGTCATTCAACCATATTTGTATGTTCTGTATTGTTGACTGTCCAAGTGACTTTGGATAAAGTGATCTAATCCTCAACTGAACTGAACTGTTGCCCAACTCCCAGAGAACGGCGGAGAGATTCTATCTCCTTCAGACCGTGCGAGTGACAGAAAGAATACTCCAAAACCAATTCAGAATGCAATGGCTTTTATAGTGACTTAGTGAGGGGGCGGTAAGGGCAGTGGGACACACATACACACCAACCCGGCTCCTCCTCGGTGGAAGCAGGAGATCCAGTCGCCCGCCTCGATCACCCGCCACAATCCAGCTGTTTGGATCTCATTTCCCGACAGATGCCATTGCTTGGCAGGGAATTGAGGGATCATCCTTTCTGTAGACGGTGTACTGACATCTCTGTAGGTCAAGCTTCACCTCGCAATTCTCCGGGGCAATTGGCCTGGCCATTCTGAGGAACAGAACCCACACGTTGACACGAGGTGCCAGCATCTGCGCCATCCCAATTGCAGAAGGACATTGATAATCCTCACGCTTGACCTTTCCCTTTGCGGCTGCGCTTACGGTCACCGGCCCACCCCACCTTCAGCCTTCAGTCTCTCTGCCCCCAACCCACCTCACCCCAAACCTTTGGATCTCCACCCCACAGTCCCTCCTCCTCGCCCCAACCCCCCCTCCCCTCACTCCATCGCCTCCTTCAAGACCCGTCTCAAGACGACTTACGCCGCACAGCAACGGCCAAAGTTAGCACCACAGCCACAGTCCTCACACTGGCTGTTCCTCCAACTGTCCCCGATGGCATGGTAGCTCCCGTCACTCGAGTCCTTGCACTTGACACTTGGATCTAAAGCGTTGGACAGAAGCTGAGCTGTGAGTGTGGGCGGAAAGATTAATCCCCAGAGGGAATGGGATTAACAACCGACACGTAGGGAAGGGATGACTCTCTTGTTGCACATCTATATCTGTAGGTGTTGTCCATAGGGTTTTATATCAATAATAATAATTCTTGCATTTGATACAGTGCCTTATCACGTCTTCAAGACGTCTCAAAGCGCTTCCCGATATAGACTGTGAAGTGACTGTGTATTTTGTATATATTCCACGACTGTTTGTGGGACATCGCTGTGCTCAATTGGCTGCCGCATTTCACCCACAAAATACAGGGGGTAGAGAGGGAGAGAGGGGGTAAAGAGGGAGGTGACCGTAAGAACGATCAAGAAGGAAGTCACTCGTTTCCTCGGCTGAGGTGAACTTACCATCAGTTTCCTCGTGATCAAAAAAGAAGCAATATGGCTCTGATAGGGTGATGGCTGCCAGCAGCAGAAAGGCACAGGTGAGTTTCTGGGGCGGGAGGGGGAGAGAGAGCGTGAGTTAGTGTTGAGGAGATCAATGAGTGGGAACCATGTCCTTTCATCCCTGGAAAAGTCATTGACAGGAACGGTCGACCAGTCACTGGGGACTGGGAATCCTCCCACTCAGCTCCTGTTAACCCTGCGGCCAACGACCTAACAGGAAGGGTGGACAAGCAGCAGGAAAGCTTGGCCAGACAGCGCTCTCAAAGGCCAAGCTGTGTGGGTTTAGCTGGTTAGACTCCAGCAGTTACCCCCAACGCACCCTCTGGGCTTGTCCCCCACCCCAAAGCCTTGGCTCTCACCAACCTGTACCAGGTATGTCTCTTTATTATGTCTCTCGCCCTGATCTGTTCCGCCCAGGAATCGTACCCAGGTCTCTCTCTGTCGCTTGCGAGGCGAGGGCTCTAACCCCTGAGCTGCAGAGGTCTCCAGGAAGCAAACTGCGTATCAAACTCTGTCTGATCTGGAAATTCTTTCGGCGCAGCTTTGGACAGACTGGACCGTGTGTTCGCACGTGTCAGACGCCGAGGACAGCAAATAGAAAACCCATTAAGAAGTAATTACGTACCATTGCTCCTCGGGTCTGATCAGCCTGGAGGCTTCCTGGTCACCGAGGCCTACAGCTAACCTTAGCCCAGGCTGCAGACTGTATCTGCCTGAAGTATAGACTGACTTACACCCCAGGACATTCAACCAGATTTGTATGTTTCGGGTTGTTGACTGTCCGAGATTCTTTGGATAAGGTGATGTAATCCTCAGATCATCTGACTATTGCGCAACTCTCTGGCCGAGAGAGGAAGGGGAGGGAGTGTGGTTTATGTACACTCAACAACAACAGCAGCTTAGGTTTATATTGCGCCTTCACACAGGGTACTGTCCCGGGACTCTAAGTCACACAAATCATATCGGTCGGGACCGCCCATCAGAGAGATGTTGGTCAGGGTCAGGGGATCAGGGGGTACGGGGGGGGTAAAGGCAGGTAATTGGAGTTGAGGTACAGACCAGCCACGATCTAATCGAATGGCGGGACCGGCTCGAGGGGCTGAATGGCCTCCTCTGCCTCGTCCCCTCCTTATCCTCCTTCAAGTCCCGCCTCAAGAAACTCCTCTTCGACCATGCCATCGGCCACCCCCCCCTTTCCCTCCCTTCCCTCCTCACCCCCACCCCGACCCCAGCTCGGGTCTGAAATGCCGTCACTGTCCAGGGCCCTTGGGACGTCCTCCTGATGTGAAAGGCGCTACACACATGTAATCTTGTTGTTGTTGTTCCTGTGTTTCGATGCAGGATGAAAGACTCGTTGGAACATCCGTGGCAACGTGTACGGCAACGTCGAGGAAGCTGTCCAGAGCCTGGCATGCGGGGAGGGAGGGGACAAGAGATTCTGGGTCCTTCAAACCGTGAGTTAAGATAGAAAGAAGCAAACATTGCAAACCAATTCAGAATCTACCATCTTTATTGTGACCTGGGCTTTGTGTGGAAGGACACGCAACTGCAGTTACTCAATGGTACAAAGTGATCTGTCGTGCCTGTGGTCTCTCCATGGATGCTGCCTGACCTGCTGTGTGTCTATCTTGTGTTCCGGTGTTGTTTGACCGATCTCATTTTCCAACTTGTCTTCTCAACGGGCATGAGAACGAGGCGAAGGATCTTCTGTTGGGTTTATAGTAACATTTCCAAATGTTTAATTCTCCCAGGCACTGTATGATCCTTGGTATCAGATATCTGAGAAATAATAATAATGATAATAATAACAATAATCCTGGCATTTCATGCAGCGCCTTATCACGTCTTCGAGACGTCTCAAAGCACTTCACAGGATACACTGTAAAGTGTATATTGTGGGCGAAACGCGGCAGCCAATTGTGCACAGCAGTGCCCACAAACAGTCGTGGATTGAATGACCAAATTATTAGTATTATCTTTTATTTTTTTGAAGTGATTATGACCCCCGGAAATAGCGATTCCCCAATCGACTAACAACCAAGTTCCTACCTACTGCTGGGTAAACAGTGGGGTGTGTGGGGAGTAAGGAGACTTGCCTAAGGTCTTGCCCGGCCTGGGAATCGAACCCGAGTCCTCTGGCTTGCGAGGCGAGTGCTCTAACCACTGCGCTACGGGATTTTGTGATGAAACAGAAGGCGGTTTCGTACTTATCACAGCACAGGACCAGGTCCCTCTCACACGTGCATTTGAGACATTTGGAGTTTATCCACTTTGCCCCATGTCTGTGGTCCGTGCCGTCAAACATGTCGATGCATTTTGCTCTCCGATTGGAAGCTGAAACACGTGAAGGAAAGCCGAGAGGTGTGAGCGCTGGAGTTAACAGCGAGTGGGTAATAAATAATAATCCTCGCGTTTGATCCAGCGCCTTATCACGCCTTCGAGACGTCTCAAAACGCCTCACGGAATAGACTGTAGAGTGAATTGACTTTATGTTTGTGGGCGAAACGCGGCAGCCAATTGCGCACAGCAGCGTCCCCACACACAGCCATGGATTGAAGTGACCAAATCATTATTTTTTTTTAGTATCAGGCGCGTGTGTGTGTGGAGTAAGGAAACTTGCTCAAGGTTTCGCCCTGGCCAGGAATCTAACCCAGGTCTCTCGCTCTAACCACTGAGCTACAGGACTCCATACTGTCGTCTTGTCGTGCTATCGTGGTGCCTTACTTTTACTTTTAAAGGTAAAAGTAAGGTTTACTTTTCCGATCCCATACAAGGACGTTCCCCACCTCTACAAGGTTCCCTCTGAGACACAAATCTAACAGTTGTTTGGAGAGCCAGGAGGGTGTGAGGGCAGAGGTTGATGTTCCCCGGTTCTCTCGAGTTTAGATCTGCCCGATGTTCCGAGTCATTGACCCAGATAACTTGCTGAGTTTGAGGTCACATTGTTTCCGACCACTTTGTACCATTGGCGCTGGTCGTCCGCAGTTTGGGATGGGCATTGGCTACAACCAGCTTCACTCAGTGACACATTATACACCTGTTCTCTCCCAAGACGGTAAACAGCCCGATTTGAAGCGCTCTGGGGTCTAAGCCCTTGTGAAGGGCGCTACATGGAACACAGGTTGTTGTCGTTGTTGCAGTAATTGTTGTTGTTGTTGTTGTTGGCGTCCCAGCTCCACTGACTGAGTCGACAGCAGATAGGACTGGAGCCAAAATACCGCAGGTGCCGGAAATCTGAAACCAAAACAGAATTCGCCGGGAACACACAACAGGTCAGGCAGCATCTACGGAGAGAGGAAATCTAGTTTAGTGTTTCAGGTCGACCGTTGACCTTTCGTCAGAACGACTCACTGGCTGAGACCCTGATCTGGGGAGAGAATCCAGGGCGTGTCGGGGGTGGGTGGGAATTCAGTCCCTCGGGTGAGCCAAAGAGCCCCCTGGGCCTTAGAAGGATGATTTAGTGCCAGAAGGAAAGATTGACGTACCATTGTCAGGCTTGGAATGATATATCTGGCAAGCCGATTCTGCTACAGCGACGGTGGACAAGAGCAAAGCGACAGCAAGGGATTTCTAGAAAAGCAGAGTGAGTTAGCTTTCAGGGACAATTAATAATAGCAACAACAACTTGCATTTATATAGCGCCCCTGACTGTATCAGCTCCCCTCACGCAGGATAGCGTCCCAGAGCCCTTGACAGTGGCACAGCATTATTGTTAAATAATAATAATAATCCTTGGATTTGACACATCCCCTTATCGCGTCTTCGAGACGTCTCAAAGCGCTTCACAGCAGACACTGTAAAGTGAATTGACTGTGTATTTTGTGGGAGAAACGCGGCAGCCAATTGCACACAGCAGTGTCCCCACAAACCGCCGTGGACTGAAGCGACCAAATTATTATTGTTTTTTGGGGGGAGAGGAACTATTATCTCCAGGAGTGTGTGGAGTAAGGAAATTTGCCTAAGGTTTCACCCTGTCCTGTCCCGCCCGGGAATCAAACCAGTGTCCTCTGGCTTGCGAGGTCAGGGCTCTAACCCCTGAGCTACAGGACTCCGCATACACAGAAATCCGCTCAATATTCCATGTTAAGGTCTATGCGAAGTTCTTACCATCGCTGCGAGTGTCCACACCAGCCAGGCTTTGTCCGGTCACTGCCAGTGGAGCCACTGAGCTGCGGCTCTAAGGCTCTCACCTTTTGGATCCCAATGTTATGATTACTGTCATCCAAACCATTGCTGTGATCGCTATGAGGCCAGGCCACACGGGCGAGAGCGCGAGGGCTGCCAGCGTTGGTCGATTTACCACCTTCAAGAGAGGGAGAGAGAGAGAGAGAGGAGAACAAGGAGACAAAGGACTTCACGTCCCTCTCGGTTGAGGAGTAAATCATTGGCGAGGCTCTGGCTCTTTCTATGCTGCTCGGATGAGCCCTCAAGCAGGTCGGGCAGCAGCTATGGAGAGAAGGCAGTGCGGGAGAGTGCAGAGAGCTTGGCAGTGTGGGTCAAGTGTGATCACACGGGGACAGGGAAGGGTGCCAGCAATGGGTGATCAAAACCCCAGACCGTCTCAGTACCTTCAAGAGAGAGCGACAAGGAGACAAAGGTCTTCACGTCCCTCTCGGTTGAGGAGTAAATCATTGGTGAGGCTTTTGACAATGGTTCGGATAACAGTAATAATTCATAATCCTTGCAGTTGATCCCTGATCCGTGTTTGAAGGGATCCTCGCTTTTGATACAGGGCCTTAACCCGTCCTCGAGACGTCTCAAAGCAACTTGACTTATGTTTGTGGGCGAAACGCGGCCGATTGCGCACAGCAGCGTCCGTCCCCACAAACAGCCGGGGATTGAGCGACCACATTATTATTATTTGTTTTGGAGGGGAGAAGGAATTATTACCTCCAGAAAGCGATCAAGCAATCAACTAACAAGCGGGTTCTTTCCTACTTACTGCTGGGTAAAAAGAGGTGTGTGTGTGTGTGTGAAGGAAAGTGGCCTAAGCTTTTTCCCTATCCCGTCCGGGAATCGAACCCGGGTCCTCTGGCTTGTCACGGCTAAAGCAAAGAGTGTTGTACGTATATGTTGTAAGATCCTTTGACCTCCTTCGCACAGGAGGCTGAGACTTAAAAGAGTCCAGGAACACGAGCCGTTCAGCAAGCTTTTTATTTTTCAGGAGATACAAGCGTCATCTGCCACGACGTTCCCACCTCGTACATCGCCACACAACCCCTCAGGTCACTTCCCGCTGAGGTGCACCACATTGCACAGAACCGAAGGATTCAGTTTCTTACGGACCACAACCTTACAATTCACGGTGTCCAATTCTGCCTCGCAGTCGTCCTCAATGATGGCCGGTACCGAGTAGCTGGGAGACCAAACGGAAAGATTGGAGGTAAAAGATTGGCGATAATAATAATAATAATGATGATAATAAGAATAGTAACCCTCGCATTCGATACAGCGCCTCATCACGTCTTTGAGACGTCTCGAAGCGCTTCACGGGATACGCCGTAAAGCGAATCGACTGTGTATTTTGTGGGCGCACAGCAGCGTCCCCACAAACAGCCGCGGATTGAGTGAGTGACCCGGTTTGCGATCCACTAATCGACTAACAACCGGGTTCCTACTTACTGTTGGTAAATAGAGGTGTATGTGTGTGTGTGTGTGTGTGTGGAGTAAGGAAACTTGCCCAATGTTTCGCCCTGACCTGACCCGCCCGGGAATCGAACCCGGGTCCTCTCTCGCTTGCGAGGCGAGAGGGCTCTTAACCCCTGAGCCGCAGGGAACTGAACTCCTCATTAGTACTCACATTACGCAACACACGGCTTTCTCTTGTGAGCAGGTGCAGTCCTCACATTTGGAGTTCCTCCAATTCGACCCATCGCTGTGGTAATCCTTGTCAACCTGGTCCTGGCACCGGAAACCAACATAGTAGCCATCTGAAGGAGGTGAGCGAAGGCAAAGGTGGGTTAGCGACACCTCGTTAGCATTGCTACACTTCACAATATATCCTGTGGAGCGCTTTGAGACGTCTCAAAACCATGATAAAGGCGCTGTATCTAATGTCAGAATGTGGCTCAGTGGTTAGAGGCCTCGCCTCGCAAGCCACACGACCCGGGTTCGATTCCCGGGCGGGACAGGACAGGGCGAAACCTTCGGCAAGTTTCCTTACCCCAAACTTTACCCAGCAGCAAATCGGTTGTTAGTCAATTGGTGGATCACTTTTCCGTGGGTAATGAACCCTCCAAAAAAAATTGGTCACTGTGCGCAATTGGCCGCCGAGTTTCGCCCACGAAATACACAGTCACTACATTTTACGGTGTATCCCGTGAAGCGCTTTGAGACATCTCGAAGAGGTGATAAGGCGCCGGGGTCAAATGCAAGGATTATCGGCGTTATTAGTCGGGTCGGTCTTTCAAAGAGTTGGCACAGACCCGATGGGCCGAATGGCTTCCTCCGGTGCTGTAAGAAAATGTAAATGTTTTGAGTTGCAGAGCTGCGGTCAAACATACCAAAGTACGTTTCCGGTTCAAAAATATAGCAGGAAGATTCGGAGAGGGCGATGGCTGTGAAGAGCAGAGCGACACTCAAGGGTTTCTGACAAAAACAAAGGTTGAAGTTAATGATGAGCGATACAAGATTGCCTTTCCATCTCGCCGTGGGATTGGCTTCAGGGTTGCCCAAGGGTAGGGATCATCAGGGAGGCCATTCAGCCCGTCTATCCAGCCTGTTCCGCCATTTTATTGCATCTTGGCGTTTCATTCCCATTTTCCAATCATTTCTCCGTATCCCTTAACTCTGGGGGGGGGGGAAGAAAAGATGCCAGCAAAGGCAGCAACAGCAAAAACCCCCAGATAGGAGGGGAGACGAGGAGAAATTTTCTTTTACCCACAGTGAAGGGAAAGGGAAAATTGCCTCCCATTTCCTTGACACTTAAATCCCTTTTAAACAAGCGATTTCTGAGTCAAACATCTCCCATTCAAGGGTTGATAGTGTTGGTTTGTGACCAAACCTTTCAGCTAAATGTACGTCCTCAATGTTGTTCTTGACTGAGAGGCAAAGTCTGAATGGCCAGAGAGGTCAACAACTGTCTCAACGCCATTCGTTCAACCTCAGGAGACCGACCCAACTGATCACCCAACGTAAGATGGTGAGAGACCACAAAGGAGATCTGGTTGAATAAGTTCCTTCAACCCAGTCCTGTCCACCTTGGCATCTTCTCACTCCTGCGATGGAGCTCGGCGATCAATCACAACACAAACTTACATTTGTACAGAGTCGTTCACGTCGGGCGGACGTCCCAAGGCGCTGGACAGTCAGGGGATTTAATGCACGTAATTCAGGGCTACACATCAAACGGACGCCACAAAGATCTGATACCAAACAAGGAGAAGAACGTGGAGACTGCGAAAGACACCAATAAATGGGAGCGAGAGATTTTGAGACAGAAGACTCCAAAACCGAATGACGTGTACTATCTTTATTGTGGCGTGTATTCGTGTGTGGAGAGATACACGGATTCAAACATCGAAACATAACAGAATCCACCGAGTAGCCGGTTCTTCTCCATTGGAATTCAACCTCTTCTGGGTCTCATTTTCCAATGTAGGAATATACAAAACATTTCTCCGAAGGGTTGTCCTTCTTATAGACCTGATACTGACAACTCAGTTGGTCCAAAACGGATACGCAGTCCTCTGGGTAAAAGGCTGGCATGAATACTCTGGGGGCAAAAAAAAAAGACACCGAGGCAATGAAGACTGGATTAATACACTGTGCACGGAAAATAACTTGTTCCCCCACCCATGACTTTTCCCGGTATGTGTAGCCCTGTAGTGTAGTGGTTTGAGCCCTCGCCTCGCAAGCAGAAGGACCTGGGTTTGATTCCCGGGCGGGTCAGGTCAGGTTGGGCAAATTTCCCTCCTCCACACGCCTCCGTTTAACAAGCGGTAAGTAGGAACTCGGTCGCGAGTCGATTGGCGGATCCCTGTTCCGGGGGTAACGATCCCTTCAAATATAAATGCTGATAATTCGGTCACTTGAATCCCTGACGGTTTGTGGGACGCTGCTGCGCGCAGTTGACCGCTGGGGAACATTCAGGAGAGGAGCCATGTTTTACAAACTGCATCAAAAGGCAACAAAGGTCGACAACGGTCACTTACACGTCACAGCACCTCAGTATTTGCTGATTGCAAGTACAGGACTGGCATTTGGCGTTCGTCCAACTAGTTCCATCCTCGTACCGTGTGTTGTCTTCTGGGTCCTCGCAGTAGGGTGGCAAATCTAACTGAGTGGAAGCTGAATTGCAGACAAACATAAAGGCGTGAGTAATGCAGGGAAGAGCACGATTACAAGGGATTTGAGGGGCAGATCGGTGGCAAGTGAAGTTTAATGTAACTATAATAATAATAATAATCCTTGCGTTTGGCACAGCGCCTTATCACGTCTTCGAGACGTTCTCAAAGCGCTTCACGGAATACACTGTCTGTGTGTTTCGTGGGCGAAACGCAGCAGCCAATCGCGCACAGCAGCGTCCCCACAAACAGCCGTGGATTGTGCTAACGAATTATTATTTTTCCGGAGGGATTATTACCCCCGGAAAAAGCAATCGGCCAATCGACTAACAGCCGGGTTCCTCCTCACTGCTGGGTCAACCGAGGCGTGCGTGTGGAGTAAGGAAACTTGCCTAAGGTTCTGTTCTAACGTTCCCCCTGGGCCTTGGGAAGAAGGGTGAGACGTTCATTACAGCGAACGTCTTGAACCCCAAGGGAACACGGTTGGTTGAACTTGGGACCAGATCAGAAGGATCGGGGGCTCACATCCCTGTGGATCCACCCGAACCTTTGCCCTTTTGAGGACGGTACAAAGAGACCCTTGTCTTCAAGGGAGGGGAGTGTGGCTTTTGGTGGCTCCAAGGACATGACCTGCTTCCACTCCTGAGGCTGTGAGCAACATACCGAGGCTAGATTCTATTTCTCCAATAAACGAATAGCAAGCGGACTTCGACCGGGTGATGGCAGTGAACAGCAGAGCCCCACACAAGAATAGTTTCTGAAAATCAAAGGTAAAGCTGTGTTAAGGGAGACTCTCGCTCATTTTCCCATCCCAAAGTCTCCTCCGCTCAACCCAAACTCTTGGCAAAGCGTTCTCCGGTTTCCTACGGTGGCTACGTTTTCAGGACAAGGAACGTGTTACGGGTTTGGTGCCAAATAATAACAACAATAATAATAATAACATAACAATAATACTCCTTGCATTTGAGACAGCGCCTTATCACGTCGTCGACATGTCTCAAAGCGCTTCACTGAATATACTGTAAAGTGTAGTGACTGTACATTTTGAGGGCCAAACGCGGCAGCCATTTGCGCACAGCGGTGTTCCCCCACAAACAGTGACCAAATTATTATTTCTTTCTGAGGGATGATTGCCTCGAAGGGAAAGCGATCGGCCAATCGACCAACAACAACCAGGTCCCTCCTGACTGCTGAGTGAACTGAGGCGCGTGAGTGTGTGGAGTAAGGGAACTCGCTTAAAAAAATCGAACCCGGGTCCTCTCGCGTGCGAGGCGGGGGCTCTAACCACCGAGCTACAGGATTTCCACAGGGTCTTGGCCCCTGTTTACTGAGGAAGGTCTCCGCTTATGCTCAAAGGGTTCCGGTTTCCAGGGCCTTTCAAAGCTTCCCCGTTGTAAACCTTACGCACAATCTGCAGCCGCCGTGAGACCGGTGAGTATTTTCAGGACTTTACAATTCATCCTTCCTACCCTGTCGCTCATTAACCCTTTGTCACTCGCTCAAACCCCCCCCCCACCACCGCCACCGCCGCCACCACCTCTCCCCCCCCCCATATCTCTGACGTTTTGTATGGTTTAATAATATTAATAATAACAATAATAATCCTCGCATACGATACAGCGCCTTATCACGTCTTCGCGCCGCCTGTCCTTCTGTCCGTCACAGAGAGTTTGCGGCACACAGTGTCAGATTTCCTTTCAGTTCCGTCTCAAGACCCTCCTCTTCGACCGCGCCTTCAATCTCCCTCCTATCCCCATAAACAGTCGTGGATTGAATTATTATTTTTTTTTTATTTGAAGGGATTATTACCCCCGGAAAAGCATTCCACCAATCGACTAACAACCGGGAAGGAAACTTGCCTGAGGTTATGTCCCGCCCGGGAATCGAACCCGGGTCCTCTCGCTTGCGAGGCGAGGGCTCTAACCGCTGAGCTCCAGCTTATCTTACGCCCATACGTACCATGGTTCTGAGCGTCCGATCCAGCTTGCTCCCGTCCGTCCTGTAACTCGGGCGTTGCGTTGTGCTCTGCGAGGCTCCAGCCTTTATCCTTCACCCTCCGGAGGCCGCGGGGAGCGGAGGGATCAGAGTCAAGGCCGATCCGACCACGTTTGTATCATTCCGTTGTCACCTTATCGACCAGAGCCGGAAGGAAGATTAGAGTTTCTGCTGAACAGTGGCCCTTGCGCTTGATACGGCGCCGGATCGCGGCTTCCAGCAAGTCACCAAAGCGCGTCACAGGATACACTGCCAAGTGTAGTGACTGCGTATTTTGCGGGCGAACCGCGGCAGCTGATTGCGCACAGCAGCGTCTCCCCCCCACCACGAACAGCCGTGGGGTGGGTTGAGTGACCCCCGGAAAAGCGATCGACTAAGGATTTGACCAGTCAGACCCTGTGACTGCTCACAGACTGACCCTCCGTGAGTGGCCTCTGTCAGGGAACAGAGATGTTGTCGTCTGCCACGAGGCTAACAGTGCAGGGAACAAAATAACTTGAACCCGTCTTATATCTCGGCTGCCGCGTTCCGCCCGCAAAACACACAGTCACTACATTTTACAGCGTGTCCTGTGAAGCGCTTGAGACGTCTCGAAGACGCGATCAGGCGCTGTATCAAACGCCAGGATTATTATGAGCTGATACCCAAACCCCATCTGTACCAGACTCCGTCCCCATCTCCCCCTTATCCTCCCCTCACACCCCCGGGCTCCCAATGGAGCAACTTCCAAGCTCCTATAAAATCCCTGGCACCCCCCTAACTCTCCCCCCCCCCCCCACCCACTCACTCCCCAACCCACCACCCGCTGCCTCCCCTCGACTGGCTCCGGCCTTTTGCTTTGTCCCTCGTGCCCTCCGTTTGCTATCGGTGCCCACGCTTTCAGCCACTACGCCCCAAAGCTCTGGAACACTCTCCCTCTACCCCTCCGCCCTTTCCCCTTCCCACACCACCCCCCCCCCTCCCCTTCCCCATCTTGAGGTCGTACTGTCAAGACCTCTGGAACCCTGCCCTGAGTGCGTGCAAGTTGTTGTTGCGTTTCCTCACGGGTGCACAGTCACTACGCTTTCCAGTAGATCCCCTGATGTTTCGACGACGTGATATCGAATGTAAGGATTATTATTATTATTATTTTTTAGGGCAGGGCTGGGCTGTGCGCAAAATGGCAACCTTTTGACGATAGGAAAAAGTTACACGATGTCAGCAATCATCGTGATATGATCGGGCGCTCTCAACATGTCAGTCCGTCCTTTTTTTTCCGGAAATTGTTCGCAACTGTTATCTACACGCGATAACGCGCCCCGCAAATAGTCCTTCCCCTGAGCTTTGCTGGAGGTCGAGAATTCGCTGGCGAAATTCGAGCAGAGTGGTGCCCAACCTGGTCTACCAGTCGCGGAGTTCCCTGCGGCTCAGGGGTTCGAGCCCCTCTCGCCTCGCAAGCGAGAGAGGACCCGGGTTCGGTTCCCGGGCGGGTCAGGTCGGGGCGAAACGTTGGACAAGTTTCCTTACCCCACACACACACACTCGCACACACGCGCGCACACTCACACACGCACTCACACACGCACTCACACACGCACACGCCTCTGTTTACCGGCAGTCAGTAGGAACCCGGTCGTTGGTCGATTGGGGGATGGCTTTTCCGGGAGTAATGATCCCTTCAGGATAAATTTCTAAAAATCCGGGAGCTCAATCCACGGCCGTTTGTGGGGACGCTGCTGCGCGCGATTGATTGTCAGCTGCGTCTTGCCCACAAGCTACACAGTCACTACACTTCACAGCGTATCCTGTGAAGGGCTTTGAGACGTCTCGAAGACGTGATGAGGGGATCAAATGCAGTGATTATTATTATTATTATTATTCTGACTCCAGAAGAAGATTCCCAAACCATTTTGGAATGCGTTCTATTTATTGAGGTTCACGCAGCCAGGCCGTGCGCAGCAACAACAACAACAACAACGACAACTTGCATCCCCCCCCCCCCCTCCCCTCGCGCAGTGCGCTTGACGGTGGTGGAACCCGACGCCGAGGGAGGGGAATGGGGGAGATGGACCGTAGGCACGGGTCAACGAGAAAGGTCTTCAGACGCGACCTGGAGATGGGGAAGGAAAGGGGGACTGGGGCTCGAGGGAGAGTGTTCCAGAGTTTGGGGGGGGGGTGGGGAGCGTAGTGGCTGAAAGTGCGGCCGCCGATGGTTGGAACGAAGGGCACGGGGGGACAAGCGGGAGGCCGGAGACGGTCGAGTGGAGGCAGCGGAGTGCGGGTTGGGGGGGGGAGGGGGGGGGAGAGAGAGAGAGCTTGAACTCGACCCCAGTTGCAGAATCCAGTTGCTTGTCGTGTTGGACCTCATTTGGATCTCATTTTCCAACATAGTACTGTGTCTTACATTGGGCGGAAAGGTTTTCCTTCTGGTGAACGGTGTACCGGCATTTCTTCCTGTTGAAGGTTGCCACGCAGTCCTCTGAATAGCCTCTGGGTAGCAGGACCCTGCACAGGGGGGAAACCCACCCGAGCAGGTGAGGTGAGCACAGAATCATAGCATCTTACAGCACAGAAGGAGGCCATTCGGCCCATCGGGCCTGTACCAGCTCTTTGGAAGAGCCACCAACTAATCCCATTGCCCGCTCTTACCCCAACTAATCCCATTGCCCACTCTTACCCCAACTAGCCCCACCCCACCCCCCCACACACCCCCCTAAAACCCCTCAAAACAGAGCAACTGTGTATTTTGTGAGCGAAACACAGCAGCCAATTGAATGACCAAATTATGATGATGATTTTTTTTTATTACTTCTGCCTGTAGGGATTGTTACCCTTTGGAAAGCGCTGATTACTCCAGCCCTTGCCTTGCCTAACCTTTCGGCTCGGCCTGGGCGAAACAGGAAGGATGGACGGGGCTCGCACTGAAGCGAATCGCACAGGGACGATATCCTACCGATCGCAGCACAACGTCTTGCACTGGACACAGCTACAGGTCTGGCACATGCTGTTGATCCATGTTGTCCCCGTTAGATGCTCGGATTTGTCGTGGGGGTCGATACAGTCGCTCGCTTTGGCTGACCCTGAGGTGGACATGTAACGAAGGCAGAGGCTGTCAGCCACGGGTGACAATAATAATAATAATCATCCACAACACAACACAGTACGACATTTGTACAGCGCCTTTCGGGGGTCAGGAGGACGTCCCAAGGCCCTGAGGTCAATCAACCCAATCAACCAACACCGGATGGAACCTCAACTTCAAAGCCCTCCACGGCCTTGACCCCCCCCACACCCCCACACCCCCATCACCTTCAACCTCTCTGTCCCCATCCAATGGAACTCCTTCCCACATCCCCTCCGCCTCGCTCCCTCCCTCGTTCAAGGCGTGTCTCAAAGCCCTCCAGACCCACACCCGCCCTTTCCCCTTCCCCTCTCCCCCCTTTGAACTTATAGGATAGTAGGAACAGGCTCGAGGGGCTGAATGGCCTCCTCCTGTTCCTGTGTTTCTAAGAGACACGGAACAAGAAGGGAGGTTGTGATGTTGAATGGTTTGCTGCGTATAATGTCATGATATTATTGAGGTATATTTTATATATATATATAGATAGATATGTATATGGTGTGTGTGCGTTTGTGTGTCTCAAAGACTATGTGTTACTTACCGATGGGCTGTTTCTCTTTGTGGTCAGGAAACATATAACAAGCGGACTCGGACAGAGGGACCCACACGATCAGCAAAGCTCCGCACAACAGCACGTTCTGAAAATACAAGGTAAACAGCAACGTGACTTGTCTACCTGAACCCTCCGGCTCAGTCAAGCGCTTTGAGACGTCCTCCTGACATAAAATGACCGACTGTTTTGAGGGGGGGTTGGGGGGGGTGGGGATGGGGTGGGGGAGAGGGGAACGCTGCTGTGCGCAGTTAAGCTCCCGTGTTTTCGCCCACAAGATACGGTCACCGCACTTCGCGGTAAAACCTCAGACGTCTCCCCCCCCCCCCCTCCCACCCCGAGGATTCCCTTCAAACACACCCCCCTCCTCGCTCTCTTCCTCTTTGCTCCGTTACTGCGGCGGAATGCGAAAGCGCCGCAAACCCTTTTTGTGCAACTCGACAACTTCCGTTGATAGAATAATAATAATAATAATAATAATAATTCTAATAACATAGCTTGACATAGCGCCCAGCAGTAAGTGGGAACCCGGTTGGGAGTCGATTGAGAGATCACCCTCCGGGATAGAATAACCCCTCCAAGAAAAAAACCGAAGTCGCTCAATCTCACGACCACTTCGCGCCGAGCTCAATCGGCCGCCGCGTTTCGCCCGCAGAGCGCACAGTCGCAACACTTCGCGGTGTATCCCGGGGACGGCGCTCTGAGACGTCCGGAGGACGTGACAAGGCGCCGGGTCGAACGCGAGGATTGTTTTCCAGGCGGTGGGCGCTGCTGCTCTCGAGGTGGCGTCACCTGCGGACGGCGGCCTGGTCCTCGTTCGAGGCTGCGGTCTCCGAGCGCTTACCATGGCCCCCGTCAGCCGGACGCTGTCGGAGTCGGCAATTACTGTCCTTCAGCCTTGAAACCGCAGTGAAAGGGAAGGTTTGGAACCCGCGGTTATAGCAGCCAAGGTTCGCTTTGTATCATTGCATTGTTTGTGCGCTATCAGTCGTGGGGGTGGGGGTGTGGGGGTGGGGGAGGGGGGGCGGGGGGGGGGGGTCAGACACACAAACTGCTGCGTGAGCAGATTAAGGACGCCGTGACTTTTGAAAGCAAAGCACACGCAGACACGCGCGCACAGACAGGCACGCGCGCACACACACACGCGCGCATACAGACACACACACGCGCACACACACAGACGCACGCGCACACAGATGCACACACATAGATGCACACACACAGATGCACACACGCGCACACAGATGCACACACACAGATACACACACACAGATGCACACACACGCGCACACAGAGACGCACACACAGACAGACCATGCGCACGCAGACAGACGCACACGCACACACGCGGACACACACGCACACACACCGCCTTTAACAAGTGACTATTTCAGAGCAGGAAGGAGGGTATCAGGAAACCCACAGAACCCAACGCAGTGAGAGAGAGAGGGAATTCGACAGCAACGGCTTAACAATAATCCTTGCACTCGATTGTGGGGCCTTCGCGCGTCGTCGAGACATTCTCAAAGCGCTTTAAAAACAAAACCGCTTGGGCCACTCGTCCACATTTGGGGAGGGAATGATGGGCTCTTGTCTCGGAGCCGGGAGGTTGTGGGTTCAAGCCCCAGTCTCGGAGCTCACGCCCCGATACGGTACCGGGGTTTGGGGGCTGCATGGCTGGAGGTGCCGTCCTTTGGATGAGACGCGTTAAAAGACCCCACGGGTTTGAGCAGGGCACGGAGTTACAAGGGGAGAGAGTTTTTTTGCTTCCTTGCATTTGACGCAGCGCCTTCTCGCGTCGCTTATCAAAGCGCTTCGCGGGACATGGCCGTCGGTGGGACGGACTGTGTACTTTGGGGGCGAAACGCGGCAGCTCTCCCCCCGCAAACAGCGAGTGAGCCACCCGAACGGTTACTAGATCCCGGCGAGGAAGGCGGAGGACACAAGCTCCACACTGTTTGGGTTTTACTGATACCAGCGTCAGGAGGTGGATCACATGCTTCGCGTCTCTGCTTCGGCCACAGAGCCATTAACTGATCCGTCCGGGAGGGGTGGGGGTTGGGGGCGGTGGTGGGGGGGGACAAGGCAGCAAATCCACAAGGCGTTTATATTTAGTAAATGCTTCTCAGAAAAGCTCGCGTTAAAAGTCATCTGATTGATCGGCAAATTAAAGAGCCGTTCCCTTCCCTTTGAGACCTGACTGCAAATCTTTCTCTCTCTCTCTCTCTCTCTCTCACAAACCCGCACGGTCTGACCGGACGGTGTCGTTGTGAGAAAATCACTTTTTACTGAGTCAGCGCCGGGCAGAAACTCTCATTTTCTTTGCAGGATATTGTCACGGGTTCCCGAACGGGCGAACAGAGCGTCAGGTTAGTGTCCCATCCAAAGGACAGCATTAACATCAATCACATCAATGGTAATTAATAGTAATAACGATGATGATGATGATGATCCTCGGGTTTGATGCGGCGCCTTATCACGTCTTCGAGACGCCTCAAAGCGCTTCACGGGGTGTACTGTCACGTTGCGGGCGAAACGCGGCGGCCGATCGCGCGACCGCCGCATCCCCACAAACAGTGGCGGATTGAATGGACAAACCATGATATTAAAATTATATTTGTTTAGGGGATTATTGCCCCCGGAAAAGCGATCTGTCAATCGACTAACAACTGGGTTCTTACTCACTGTTGGGGGAAACCCAGGCGCGCGAGTGTGCGTGTGTGTGCGTGCGTGCGTGTGCGCGTGTGTGTGTGCGTGCGTGTGCGTGTGTGTGTTTGGGGGGGAGTGAGGAAACTTGCCTAAGGTTTTTCCCGGCTCGGGAGTCGAACCCGGGTCCTCTCGCTTGCGAGGCGAGCGCTCTAACCCCCGAGCTACGTGATCGCACATATAACAGAGCCATGATCACACGCACACGCGCACACACACACACACACACACACACGCACACACGCACACACACGCACACACACACACACACACACAGACAGCTGCAGGAGCTGTGCTCGTGATTTCCACACAGACACTCATCCCGTCTGGAGGAGAGATCAAGGTGTTCACGTGCCATTCCCTCCTGGTGCTGATCGTGGGGCCCTGTGGCTCGCTCAGGGGTTAAGAGCCCTCGCCTCGCCAGCGAGAGGACCTGGGTTCGATTCCCGGGCGGGTCAGGTCAGGGCGAAAATCTGGATCTCTCTCTTTCTCTCCTCCCTCCCCAAAAGACTGTGGACCATGGCTGGATCCATTCAAAGGCTGAGCTGGGTAGATGTTTGTTAGGTCAGGGTATCGAGGGGTATGGAGCGAAGGTGGTTTAATTGGAGTTGAGGCACAGATCAGCTGTGATCTAATAGAATGGGGTAACAGGCTGAAGGGGCTGAATGACCTCTTCCTGTCCCGATGAGACTTGCGTACAGGACTGAGGGCAGTGTTGGAGGTCGTTGGCAGAGACGCAGGTTATATACGGAGTTCCTGGCCCGACTGTTCGGGTATCGGGCTGTTTCGCACAGTTTCCTGACCTTCCCGAAGTTAATGCGGTGCCAAGTCGGCGGAAACTTTCCCCCCAAAACAGTCACTCCACGTACGCCCACAGCAATTTGAGGTCGAGCAGTTGAGACGTGATAAGGTACTGAAAAAAAAATTGCAATTTTTTTTTTTTTAAAAGGTTTTTCTTTTCTTCTAACTTGTAGTTGCGGCGTCGTGTAGAGCTCAGTGGTTAGGGCACTCGAGAGGACCCGGGTTCGATTCCCGGGCAGCACGAAACGTTAGGGAATCTTCCTTACTCCGCACACGCCTCTGTTCACCAGCACTAAGTAGGAACTCGGTTGTTAAGTCGTTTAGTGGATCACTTTTCAGGGGGTAATAATCGCTTAAAAAAAAAAATAATAAACTGGTCACTCAACCCACGGCTGTTTGTGGGGACGCTGCCGTACGCAATTGGCTGCCGCCTTTCGCCCACAAAACACAGTCAATTCACTTTACAGTATATTCTGTGAAGCGCTTTGAGACGCCTCGAAGACGTGATAAGGCGCCGTAACAAATGCAAGTATTATTGTTGTTGTTGTTGTTGTATTTGGAGTTCAGGAGAGACCGAGAAGCAAATGCTGAACAAATCCCCCGTTTTATTGCTGACCTCTTAAACAAATTGTCAAAGTATATTTTTCTGCCGCATTTCACAGCGTATGTCTCGGGAGTAGTTTAAGACTAGTTTCACTATTTTTTAAAGAAAAAGGACTAAAATTGAATAAAAGTTTGCTGAACAAGTTTAACATTCATCCTTTGTGGCGATGTTATTGTCACTGTTGGTTGTTATTTTATTCCGTGTGTAGACTTGCCAGAAAGCGAGGGGTCAAACCTGCTCTCGCTGGATGTTAAATGACCAACTAGTGACTATCCTCCTTGAGGGTGGCGGGGGGAGGAAAGTGGGGTCTGCTTGAGCTGAACCTGCTCCAAGGAGACGTGTCAGAATCGAACCACTCCCTCTGTGAAGGTCTCCAGTCCAGTTCCAGAGCCAGGAGGGGCCACAGTATTCCAGAGCCCGGCCCGGCTCATCGGCAGGACCTGGAAGGGCCGACCAGTCACTGGGGGGGGGGCGAGGAATCCTCCCCCTCGGCTCCTCTTAACCCCGCAAGTCACTAACTAAACGGGGAGGGTGGTCCTCGCGGGACAAGCAGTGGGAAAGCTTGGCCAGAGAGCGCTCTCAATGGCCGAGCTATGTGGGTTTTAGCGGGTCAGACTCCAGCAGTTACCCCCTAACGTACACTCTGGCCTTCCCCCCCCTCCCCACAAACCTTGGCTCTCGCCAACCTGTGCCTAATACTCTCCAGAATTAGGTAAGCAGGGGGGGGGCGTCCCTCCAGGGAGAGAGAGAGAGAGAGAGAGCGTATTCCATTCCGACAATCTCTCTCGGGGATTTCCGTGTGTAGGTGGGAGGCGTGGAATTCTCAGTTGGGTTCGGAGACGCTTTAAGCAATGGCGATGGGTTTCCGCGTGCGTCAAAAAAAAAAAAGGTCCAGTTGGATCTGTTCCAAACCCCCGCCAACCTGCCACCAGATGGCACACGAGAATAGCGTTCTCCTTTCTCGGCAGCTTCTGATGTCAGTATTCTCCACTGCACCAACCCGGACTCACGTGATGGTCACTCGAGATGCCTTGCAGCGCAGACACCGATTGGAAAGTTGGAACTCATCCAAAGATTGCCCCGGACTCCAGGTGTCAGGTCAGCTTGAATGAGATCCTCCCGGTTATATCTCTTTAATATTTTGGGACGTCCTCCTGACGTGAAAGGCACTATACAAATGTAATTTTTGATTGATTGATTGATTGATTGATTGATTGATTGACTGAATATATTCACTCAATCCACGACTATTTGTAGGTCACTGCTGTGCGCATTTGGCTGGTGCATTTCACCCACAAAAATACACAAGCCACTGCGCTTTACTGTATATCCTGTGAAGCGCTTTGAGACATCTCAACCAAGTGATAATGGGCCAAACCAAATGCAAGGATTATTATTATTATTATTATTATTATTGTGCCCTGGTTTAGAAGGCTTAATTTATCTTTGTAAGAGTCAGTAAAAAGTAAATAGCCGGCGACGGTTACAAACTACGATCTCTTGTTTGCAAAGCAAAGCTGCGCTGTTCCTTCTCTGTGGCCGTGATTTTGATGGGTCAGCGTTACCAGCCCGGTGACACGCGTGGGAGAAGACTGCTCACAGAATCGCGGAATCCTCCTACAGCGCAGAAGGAGGCCATTCGGCCCATCGTGCGGGTTTTAGGTGCAACTGGAGTCTAACCAGCTTTTTTCTTAAAAAAAAAGAGCTCGCAATTGAGAGAGCTGTCTGGCAAGCTTCCTTGTGCTTCTCCAGCTGGGATCATCCTTAGCCATTAGCGCTTTGGGCTGGCGGGGCTAAGAGGAGCTGAGAGAGGGGTGGGTCGGGAGGTGGGTGCCCCTCTGCCCCTCCCAAGTCCTGCCGATCAGCCAGGCTTGGCTCGTTTCGTCTGAGCTCATCCTCTTGTTGATCGGTGCCTGAAAATGCTGCCGAATTGATGGTCATATCCACTGCCGGAAGCTAAGCGCTTGTGGTGAGTTCAGCTCAACATCTGGCAGGTCAAAGGTTTTCTGCCCACAACGCAAGCCCTCCCCAAACTCTTAGTGGGCCAAATTCCGTAGCAATGTGCCTCGACGTTCTTTCCCAGAGAGAAGCTGGATGGCATTTGTTTGTGCGCTGATCGTTTTTAAATGTAAGAACATAAGGCTCTGCTGGTGAAAGGAGACCAAGGTCCATCCAGTTCGTCTTCCACCATCCTTGCAGTCGCTTGACATGTCGTGCCCCAAACTATATACTGTCCCCACCCCCCAGATATAATTTCCTAACAGAAATCTATCTCATTTGTAAGTATTTTGCTCTTGAAAGAATCGACACTTACTGCTTCC